AATATTGGTAATTTTAGTTTCTAATTCATATGAAACTATAGACTTAGTATTTTGACTTCACAAACATTTAATTTGAACCAGTGCTACATTCAACATACCACGTGACACACAAGAATCGGTTTATCTGTGGGTTCTTTAATATTTGCTTTTAAATTAAGAAATTGAGTAATATATATAGTACAGAGTTTTGAATTATAATCTACAGTTTGATACCAAACTTATTGACATAAATTCATGAAATAGTAGATCAATAAAATTTCTAATTCGAGTCAACAAACGAGATGACATGGCCTTTCACCCATGACCCATCTCGAAAGGTTTAAATTGAGACAAAATCTGGTCATCATTTCTATCAGTTATTAAGGGTGGTCTCTTACAGATATATCTAAAGTGTGAAATACGTCCATTCCCAACACAATACTACTTTCCAATACGGTACCTTAACTCCTCTCACATAAGTAACTATTCTTGTTCATTGCTGCCCTCTATATGCAAACAAATTTTTGCCGCATGCCACAAGCCTTGAATCTCCCACTCATTTGGAATTGACTGATTTCCATGCATCTTGCATGCAAATTATCATGCAACAACCCTCTACCAATAAGAGTGCAACATACTTTCTTGATGCCTGTGACTTCATCTATTCAATTCTACCAAACTGTCACTTCTTGGTTGGCAGTACTCATGTTATAATGTTTAGATTCTGCTCTCTTCAAGTGTTTTAATATGTTACCGTATCTTTTGTGGGGCAATCTGCATTTTACCCGACTTCCACATTTGGGGAATTTTACCAACACCATTCCTTGGGCGTCTAGCTTTGGTTAGCTCCTTCCAAATGGGGGTTGTCTCAACATACTCTTCTACTCCTTCCACAGTCGGCTCAGGTACTTGGAGTTTCCATTTGGATAAGTTTTTTTCTATTACATACCTCACATTTTAGTCTATTTTTGGTGTGTATTTTTAAATACCCCTTCCATTGGGACCATCCATTCTCCTCCTCGATTGCATTAGAAGGTGTTTTCTGTTATCTGAGCCTTTACTTTGGATTTTCCTCTTAATTTTCATCCTTCCCTCTTTGTCTATATACTTTGATAGTTGAACATATCCCCCACGACATCAGGTTTACAGCTTCATCCCCTTCTTCTGGATTGTTTCTCTTCCATGAAGCTCATCTCCAAAGGTGGGGGGTGTGGTTCTATCAGTAAGAGGCTTTGGGCTAATGGTATACAGTCGAAAGGTTTTATCCCCTTCACACACGGGCACTTCCGCCAGTCCTAGATGATTTAGTTCACACTCTTCTTTTTGTCTGGTTTGACTATTTTAGTTTCATTTAAAATCTTTGACGGAAGTGGCTTATATCACTCCCCAAGGGGACACTCCTTCTTGTCCCCATGAAGTAAATAGTAGATTTCCTTTTTTTTCAAACCCACACATGTCTCCTAGAGGGTCATGTTCCAGGTGCTTTGACCTTGTTGCTAATTGACCTTGCAGTCCTAACACACTTTCTTCCACTGAGTGCCCTCTTGATCCTCTTAATTTTTGGTGGCTCTGCTTCCTGTGGGGTACTCCTCCACTTAAAATTTTGTTTTTGATCTCTGGTTCATCATCCACTTGCCCTGGCTGTCATTAAATTCAGACAGGTTTACATTAGTTTTTTCTCATTCCATCAGTCTTCTTCCCTAAATTTTTGTGCATCCATGTCACTCTGGTTCAAGTCTTTCTGATTAATCTTTCCTAGCCAGCAGTGCTTAGGTTTTCTCAGCTGTTTTGCCTTGATTTGTTTTTGATCTTTTTTATTAACCTACATTTTAGTGGCTTACGTGGTATATTTCTTTCAAAATTTTTATTCTTATTGGGATCAAGATGACCTTCTCTATCCAGTACATGATGTGAGTTGCTTCATTATTTTCAATGTTTCTTTCCATTATATCCATTTCCTATGTTTCCTCCCCTTACTCCACTTCTTTGTCTGTGATTTTTTCCTTCCTCCCTTACCCATTCGGTTTGGATTGTGATTCAGTTGGCCTTTTATTCCTTGTCTCCTTCTTCCCATCAACACTTCCTGGTGTCTACACTCCGATCATACACCTTTTTCCCTGTATGACTACCCTGCTGTCTGTTGGAGGTACTTCATATGTTGAGCACTGGGTCTACATCTCATACGTTCATCTCCCATTCTTTGCTTTGGGTTGCTGTTTCTTCCTTGTTGGGGTACCATCATCCACCTGTTGCCATCCTTCACTCGTTAAACGTGAGACTGTGACTGGGTAAGTTACCTTTTAGTATATATACATCTTCTTTTTCATAGATATGTCCCTCTTTTTCTTTCTGGATCTCATTCTGTGGCAAGGGTGCCTAACCAGGTATTTTTTAACCATTTAAATCCACACTGTAAGACCATTTTGACTTGCATATTATGATTCCATGGCCATGCAACACATACTGCGGAGATGAGGTGTTCCATAAGGTTGCTTGTAGGTTTATCCTTGCGATAAGTTTGCTTCATACATTTGCCTGTCCTGGACTGTACTCACTTGTGGACTACATAAGTAAAGCAGAAGAGGATAGCTGCCCATCCCTGCCATGCCTTGTATTGAATAAATCGGTATGGTGTGCTTTTAAAAATAGGGTTTCTTTATCACCATTGCACTGTCTCGGATGTTGTCATTCCTCAGGACTCTCCATCACGCTTTCTCCCCCTTTTCTTATAGTGGGGTATGAGAATCCTTACGACTTTCCATTTCCAAGCCACTGGGGAAGTGGACCATGGAGGCATCCTCCTCAATGTGTTAATGAAGTACAAATAATATATATGATTATAAAACTATTCAGTTGAGAGTAGGGTGGTGGCATTCTGCTGGTGTAGATGACGTGATATCCTCCATTTTTTAACTTGCGAGTGAACCATCAAAATTGCAGTTTACCTATTTGATTGGGATCCCTCTTTCTACCCACATGTGGATGTAGGTTTCCAGTGGCTGGGTTTTGGATTTAGAGCTGAATCAATCAACATAAGTCCTCACACATGTATTACATATATCTCTATTCCCTCACTCATTTATACTCTTGTTACTCCATCTGTGTTGTGGGTCACAGTGGAGGTACTTGCAGGTTACTACAGTTTTTCCCCTTCCACTATCTCTCAATGTTTTTATTATTCCAATGATGTTACTGTGCTTGGGGTTGGTTCATGTCAATTTCAAATTTGAGTGAGATGATTTACCTTACACAGACATCTTTTCGATGCTGGATGTTGGGTTCCCCGATCAATTAATCAATTTCTCACATTATCATGTGCCCCGTTCATGGGTTTGAGGGTATGTGATTCCCTCCAGTCTGATGAACTTGTGGTGAAGACAGTACGATCCTCTTTTCTATCTCCACATGGATGTCAGTTCCCAGTGGCAAGGATTTTGGATGTAGTTGACTTACTGTGTACAGTTTGTCATGCCCTAGCCATCCTACACCTAGGGGCACATCCTTTTAATCTTACTCACTTTTATGTTTTCTGGGATTGAGTTTCATAAATATCGTATGGTTTGAATCCCTATCCTGCCATAGTTGTCTTCCACTTGAATGTGCAAAAACAATTTTTGTGTATAGAGGGTAGCACTGAACGAGAATAGCTATTTATGTGTGTGGATATAAGTACCTATTAAAAATACATTTTCAGTATAAGAAAATTATAACTTTTTAGTCAATTGAGAAACCCATTTGTAATCTGTCTAAATATGACATATGTAAACACAGTTATTTCCTTTATTATTTATTGAGATCATACCAAAATATCTTTTGAATCTCCTTTTCTCTGTCTTTTAAGTTCCTCCTTTTATAATTTCAACAATTTTGTGATCTATAGGTCTCATTACTCATAAAATTACACAAGTCTGTACAACATGTTCTCATGAATTATACATGTCCATATGATGTGAGTTCATGCTTTTATCTGCAGTTCTGTGAAGATCACATATGTACTATAAGATACTTGTACCTGGTGTGCCCACTCACATTTGAACTGAGGAACTTGACTTTTCCTTGAGCAGGATTGACATTGTGTTGTACTTGGATTTTTTATTAGACCAGTATTACAGGTCTCTTACTGTTCTAAGTATGATATAATTATTTAACCAACCTAATTCTATAAGTTAGTACTTTATATTGAAACTATTTTTCACCCTTTACTACTTAGATGCTTTTCAGTCGGATCACACAAAGCCCAAAGTTTATTTTTTATTAATTTCCAGTAATACACAAGAATAAAATTGTTTAAGGTCATCTAGATCCACTCTAATTAAATAAACCTTTTTTCCCTGAGTTTCTCAGTTTCATAGCGAGTTTCTGATATGACAGTTATTGCTTTAGGGTTTTTCAAAATGCTACTGACAAAAAGAGTGAATGTGCAAAAATGTGTATAGTTATCTATAGATAGTGACATATTTAATGCCACATCTAATTTGATATGCATAAAAGTTTGATAACTAACATTCACTGGCAGGGTGCATCTGACCACATGCTCTTTCGTGTCTCCTCCCACCTGTCTTGCCATATCACAGCCCCTCTTGCCTCTTTTCATTACTGGTCTGTAGGGGAGACTTTACAGGCTGTTATGTGGACTATACATAACACAGTCATCTCCCAATACATCAGGGTGGTCCAACTATGGGATTGTGGGCCACAATTGGTTCACAAGATGATTTTTGAGGCCTGCAGCCCCTTCCCCCCCAAGAAATAGTTTTATAACTATATGATCTTATTGAATATATTATGTTTGGCCTGTAAAACTAGGTTAAGAGTATTTTTTTGGCCTGCTATGTTTAAGAAGCTTGACCACCCTAACTATTCGCTATTCTCCAGTCTACTCAAAAGCTATAGTCTGATAACTTTTGAGTTTTCAGTGATTTCCATGTCCTTTATACATTTCAAGCCATCTCCATGTGTATATCATTATGTTTGTGCACATTACAGCATGACCACACACACACAAACAGAGGAGGAGGCAATACATACCAGACTGAACATAGCATGTGAAACTAACCAGTACATTCCTTATGTTTGGTGCCATTGGATCCTTACAGGGAATACTTAAGTCTCATGGTTTAATGCTTTCTGTGGATTTCAGGGCCTTAGCAGTATATCTATACAACTGATTTGGCCATTTCCACACGTTTTATAGACAGTAACCCATTATGGTGTCTCATGGTGGTGACCCTATTTCAGCAGATGATTGTATCTGATGACAGTGGTCCATGATCACTCTCCTGTGTTCTCCCCAATGTAGATTTATCTTCCCCTGTTCTTCTAGTGGAGCACAGGAGAACCCTTACTTCCCTGGCCTCACCCCCCAAGTTTGAGACGTAGGGCTGGGTTCTTACTTAGAAATGTAGTACAGGACACCTCATCACAATATCTCCCAAGAAGTTACTGGTGGATATGCTCATCCGTATGGGACTTGGACTTGCTTTTAGACATAGATCAGTCTCCCTCCCTCAGTCCTTTGCTATCTCATATTTCACCAAGATATGATAGCCTAAAGCCGTAACCACACTACACAAACTAATGTTCTATCCACCTTGGTGACACATTACCACTGGTACTGAATTATCCCAAATACTTTTGCTCTTCACTCTTCTCTTCCTGTAATGGAAATTTTGAATACATAAATCAATAACAATAAACTGGGTGAAGAGTATTCCCTTGTTGAGAAAGATGAGGTCTCCCACTGGGTGCTGCTCTACTAGGTGACTCCGGGTCTCATGGAAGTTGCACCTCTTGGGCTTTCTCCTCATGTAGCTATTTCAGAAATTTAACCACCTTCCTCCCTTCCTTCCCACTTCTGGTGCACTTCATTTGCCTCATCAAGATGAGCCTGTGACGATGTGCTACTGCTTATGGGGATCACTGCACACTGAGGTTGTGTTGTCCTCCTGTTGGTAGGGAGCTACAGCATTATGATGATTACATCAGAAGTTGGAACAGTTCACTTAGATAAGAGAAGGGGTGAAGTTTGTTCAACGCATGTGACGTGTGCAGGAAATTCCGTGGCAGTTGTGTGAAAGGTAATAGCTCTTAATAGAGCAGAGATTTATAAAGGAAACCATCTTGTGTGCAAAACATTTAGTAGGTGTCGTAATTGTTGTCCATGAATATGTACATTTATTGAATCAGTACTATAGAAAACATATAGTACTTCAAGATGTTAATTAAGTATGTTTAAATACCTTTGAATGAAGGTACCTCTAATCCACCTTATCTCTTTACATACCAGTATCTAAGAAAAAATAGTATGAATATTACATTACAAAATTTTAGATTTATCCTCTTATACCTGAAAAATTGTTGATGTTTTATTCCACATTATATTAACAGTGCAAACATTTGAAAATAAAATACATCCACAGAGGCTTTACCAGACGGGCTCTACTTTTTTAGATCACAGATAAATGTTAAATCCATGAGCCACCTTCTTGCAGGATAGTAGTGCAGGTCCGTACACAAAATGTTGGAAAAGGGGTTCTAATTTGTTAATCAAAAGCCACCACATATTGAGCAAAGCATGGTAATGCTAAAGGAGTCTGGGGACATTTCTCTCCCCAAGAAAATTTAAAAAAATTTGTGCTATGAGATCATATCTGAAAGAAATGTTGCACAGAATATAGCTTAAACAGTCGCATGGCTGTACACATAAAATCCACAAATATTCAAGGAAAAGTCAATAAATCATTCTGTTCTAATACTGTAGGGGGAGCTAGACTTAAATTAACATAAATATGTATGTTTTATTATAGTAAAATACTGTAGTATCTACATACACAGTAGTTATTAATTGTTAAATTATATTACTAATTTAAAAAACTCTGTACGACAATAATATATTAGCTATTTCATTTCAATCACTGGCTATCATATACGTACATATACGCACTACTGAAATAATATGTTAGCATGCTCCATTCTTCTGGGGTGCTTTTCCATAAATAACTTGCATGCGGTTTCAATGTTGATAGCAATTATTCAACCTGCGAGAGCAGATGCTAAAAGTTCACATGAAGGAGGCTCAGGTGACCTCCCCCCTCCTGTGTATATGCATGCCGTGAAAAGAATATCCTCAGCACAACTATAAAGTATTCAAACATATTGAAAGGCCAGTGGTTCAGTTTTTCAGTATGAATGGTCAAGTATAGCACTAAAACTGACCAGACAAATGCTATAGTGTATGTTGATGTTCTAGCCAGGATAAATCTTTCATATTTCTATTTACACTAAGGAAATTAAATATACTTAAATATGGCTGTTCTGTACAGTACTAAACTGAAGGACTCAAATGACAGTATATATGGTTTATATTATGTAATAGTGTAGAAAACGTTACTAAAAAGGGATTTACAAACATATAGTCATGATGTATACATCAAATTCAATAAAGTAATGAGTACATAGTATCCAGTGATCCACCAGAAAGCTGATAATTTACAAATAAAAAATTGCCCGATTACTTAAAAATACTTAAAATCCTGCAAATTTTTTGGTGAAATTCCAAATCAAGTTATTAACATACATCTAACTAGGAGTATTCTGCACATAACTAAACTATATGTATGCGATTAAATTTAATGAAACAAGTCTTAGATCATTTAACTTTTATTGTAGTCATTTTTCAGTGAATGTCAAATGTTGGTGTTATGATAAATTTACTTATCTTGATTACAGGTGAGAAAACTATACTGACACATTGGAAAAAGTTCAGAGATTTGAGTATCGAAGAATACAATAAGGTGTACAAGGTAAATGTCTAAAACTCCATAATTTTTTTATTGTTTCATTTTTAAGAGTTTAACAGCCATTTCAAATCTCCTTGCCTTTATCCCACCACTGTATCTGTGAACCCAACAGAACACATTATTCACCTAGTGTAGGCATCTTTGCTAGTGGCAGTAATAAATTGTTGTTTCAGCAGGGATAATATTCATATAACATTTGAAATGAAATTGTTTTTGTTTTTTTAAGCTATGTTTTCATAAAACACAAATTAAAAATTACTTTTTTCTCATTTCTCTTGCATATTTTCATTTAATTCTTTTGAAAATATTATAAATATGTTTCCAAATTCCAAACGTTTTTTTTTTTCAAAATGAAGATTTTTTTTTCTAACACATTTGACTTAATTATTTTTAATCTTTTAGGACTTTAACTGTATTCAAATTTAAAGTTCTTCATATGACAGGTCGGAGTTTTTGTTTGTAATCAGCTGAGGTTATTATAGCTCATATTATATTAATATTATATTATTATATGCTGAGGCATATATAAAGTTCTTGTTTCTCTGAGAAACTCCTGTAAAAGCATTTCCTATAGTACAAATTTAATGTTGCTAAAAACATATGTAATAAATGAAGCAATGTACATGTAAGTGTATACAAGAAAATGTGCAATATAAAGTCTACAACCCAATTTGTCATCATTGAAACATCATTTTGATTTAACTTATAATTAAATAATATAAGTATTAGGAATTTAAAGTATGCTTTTAATATAAGCTTTTCTTTACAATAATATAATAATTATATACTGAGAGACAGAGGTAGTCCATATTTCAGTATAATCCAAGAGTAGTTAGTTATATCTTGTGTGTTGGTTTCTAGTATCATGGGGCCCGGCATGGCCAAGTGGTTAGATGCTCGACTCGCAATCTGCAGGTCGCGGGTTTGAATCACCATTCCACCCAACATGCTCGCCCTTTCAGCCATGGGGGCATTATAATGTGAGTAGCCCAAGAATTGGCAGTGGGTGGTGATGATGACTAGCTGCCTTCCCTCTAGTCTTACACTGCTAAATTAGGGATGGCTAATGTAGATAGTCCTCATGTAGCTTTGGGCGAAATTCAAAAACAAAACAATCCAGTATCATGTTCTAGTGACTTTGTTACACAGAATTAGCTTCATTAATTCATAAATTACGTTTTAATTTTGACTTGTATAGTTATTATTAATAAGAACTTCCACGTGAATGTAAAGTATAATATTATCTCGACCACACTAGATCTGCTATATCCAATGCAGGCCGAGGCCTTTCACCCAGTACTAGTGTTCTTCAAGTCGGCTAGGATACAATAGACAAAGTAGTGGTTGAGACGTTATTTAAATTGGCAAACTGGTTGACAACAACTGTTACAATGATTAAGTTGGTGAAGTGTAATTTATGTCACAACACGAGGATTGGTTTTCTTTTGATCAAAAGGTATTAACAGCATACAGAATCTGCATTGAAAAACTTATCAAAAATTAAAAGATTTGTCCAACTGCTATTGTAGCACAGTTAAAGAGTTTAACATGTCTAGCCTGACATTTCTTGACTGACTGGAATGGCTGTTTTACCACCAGAACTAATATTTGGCTTTGTAGCACAAAAGCTTAACAAACCGTAAAAAAGTATTAACACTTTATTTTTGTAAGCTCTATGTGTTTATGTTTCTATGACTGTACTATTGAGATATATTACTAAAATGTTAACACGTTTGGATTATAAACTTCTTTATATGTTATTTTCTTAATGATCATTTCATAACATTTAGCACGAATCCCAACTAGTCCCTAAACTCAAGCTAACCTAGAGATTGTAGGTCTATAAGAGTATTTAAAGTAATGACTAGCTATTTATATATTATGTATAGAGAGAAAACAGTTACGGTTTTCTTGTTTCTGGAACATGGTTTCACTTTGTACTCAAATAAACTCAAAGACAGAGGTAATCACTTCATACTTTGTGTTTTACCCATCAGTCAATTTTTGTTATTGATGAGTAAAGTTTTTACCTCTGTCTTTGAGTACATAGACATATTTATGACTGAAAAGTAGAATAACCTACAAAGCCTGTATCCTAGTGAAACAAGAAAATCAGAATAAAAGTTATAACCCAGAAAAGTTTGAGCAAGACTTATTTCTGTATCTAATCAATTTGGATTGTTGTTAGTTTTAGTTGTATATGTTTTAAGTTAAAAAATAAACCTGCAAAGTCAGATTTCATGATTTAATTTTTGTATCTGTGTTTTCATAGATACAAATGGATGTCACAAAATAAAAACATACAATAAATTAAAGAACAAACGTTAAGTAAAACATCTTTAAGAATAGAAAAATAGATGTAAAGTAATGTTGTTGTTTTTCAGTTTGTAAATAAACATCTTGGGTCCCACGTTATGCATTGTTTTCTATATTCACACTTTTTACCAGAGACTTGGAGTGAAGTTTGACAAATATGAATCAGAATCAATGTACAGCAAAGCAGCGAAATATGTGTTGGAAAGAATGGAAGAAAATGGTCATTTATCAACAGACAAGTACGTGAGACAATTGCTGTGTATCTATTTTTAGGAATCTGTTTAAAGTAAATCATGGCTGTATTTATTATGAAGAAAAGTTTATGTTAAAATACACTTTAGTTTTCCAATATGTATTTAATTGTAAGCCAAATCAAAACAACACTAATTATTTTAGACATTTTGTTGTACACTATACTTGCACACAATTACACTGCTTCATTTATTACAGAAGTGTTTTTTTTTAGCAACATTTAACATAAATTTCCAGGTTTATTAATCTTCTTTTTTTTTGAGGATTTCATTGTAGAACATTATGCATGTATATTTATTTAGCATTCGGTTACTGAGTAAGTAGTATGTGATTTAATTTAAAACAAACTTATGCTACTAGCTTCATTCCTCGACTTTAATTATTTGAAGTCCTTACTCATTGATTTGCTCAACCAATAAGCAGCATAAATATGAAAAACAAAGTGTTAAAATGATGTAAATACTGTTATTAAAATTACTGTAAATCTAAATTTTGTTATTTGAATATCATTTTTCTAACCACAGGAATAATCCAAAAGTACTGAAATTGAAATTGGCTAATGGACAAGAGCAAAATGTAACTGTAGCTAAAAGTGATGGATCTACACTCTATCTTAGTAGGCAAGTGTATAGTTGTATTTCTACTCATCACTAGAAACTTACTTAAAATTATAAGGTACATATAGTTTAAAATATTTTGATTCAAAAAATATGAGAAATTTCTTTTACTTTTGTGTGATAGTTTTCTGATTTTATAAAGGATCAGTGTAAAAACAATAAACTGTTTTTTATTTTGTGTCGAAGTTTCTGTACCAAAGTATTATAGAATTTAGGTATGACCCGTTAGGTTCTTCTATAATTATTACTACAGTATGAATGAAATGTAGGTATGACTATTGGGTACTACCATATTGTTACTACTACAGTATGAATGAAATGTAGGTATGACTATTAGGTACTACCATATTGTTACTACTACAGTATGATCAAATGTAGGTATGACTATTAGGTTCTTCCATATTGTTACTACACCAGTATGATCAAATGTAAGTATGACTATTAGGTTTTCCATATTACTACACCAGTATGGTGAAACGTAGGTATGACTATTAGGTTCTTCCATGTTGTTACTACGCCAGTATGGTGACATGTAAGTATGACTATTAGGTTCTTCCATATTGTTACTACACCAGTATGATCAAATGTAGGTATGACTATTAGGTTCTTCAATATTGTTACTATTACAGTATGGTGAAATGTAGGTATGACTATTAGGTTCTTCCATGTTGTTACTACACCAGTATGGTGAAATGTAGGTATGACTATTAAGTTCTTCCATGTTGTTACTACACCAGTATGGTGACATGTAAGTATGACTATTAGGTTCTTCAATATTGTTACTACACCAGTATGGTGAAATGTAGGTATGACTGTTAGGTTCTTCAATATTGTTACTACACCAGTATGGTGAAATGTAGGTATGATTATTAGGTTCTTCCATGTTGTTACTACACCAGTATGGTCAAATGTAGGTATGACTATTAGGTTCTTCAATATTGTTACTACACCAGTATGGTGAAATGTAGGTATGATTATTAAGTACTTGAGTATTGTTACTATAAGGAATGGGACGAATACTGGAGATCAGTAATCGAATACAAATATGAATACTTCATATCTTTATGAATACGATTAAGAAAATGAATACAAAAAAAAGCTAAGTATTTGAATATGAATACATAGGAATGTATTCATGAATACTTTGTCAGTTAATATGCAATAACGATAAAACAATATACGATAATATTTCAATACTTTATTTTATGAAACAAACTGTTTAGAATCTGAAGCACACAAAATTTGAATTAACATTTCAATACTTTTATTTTTCAAAATGCAATAACAAAGTTTAGAACAAAAATGTATTTTTAAAGGAATCTTATAAATATTATAACTGTCCATTGTTCTTTATGAACATCAGTCTCTCAAATGTTTTGTCAGTGAGGTGGCAGCAATGTGGTCTGAGGGTTTTGCCTCCGATGGTAAACAAACACTCTACGGTCAGAGGATGCTAGAACATGATAGCATTTGGCTAGTATAGATAGGTAGGAAAGTTTTTCATGGATCTTCCAGTAATCTGGAGGGTTGCTTTCTTCAGGGTTGCAAGAACCATCCAGGTTGATCTCTGTATCCTCTGAAGATGAGGTGGCTCGTTTCTTTGAGGAAGCAAATAAACTAAAGATCTAACTTCTTTTGTGAGGGGAGAGGGGATTTACAGTCATCTTTTGGTTCCATGGTTTATTTGTTGAGGAAACTTTCTTGACTTCTTGCTGCAGGAGCATTCAGTTGGATTCATAGACCATAGGTCGAGTGAAGCACTGGTCAAGTTTAAACCTGGGATACAACGCCGCAGCCAAGCAGAAGACACATCGTTGCTCATATTGAGCCAGCTGAGCATGAACAGATGTCTTTAGTGCAGAGACAAAATTGAAATTGTATCTGAATTCATTATTGTCAATCTCAGTCATAACACATGGCACTACATAACTGGAGGTAACAATGTTCTGATCCTGGGTGGAATCTGTTGCTTCTTCAAAAGATGTCAGTATTGTCATCAAATCTGCAAGCACAGTTCAATCATGAAAAGTATTTTCAATGTACCAGTATCTATATTATCCAACTTCTCCCGGAGAATCTTCAATAAAGACTTAATCATCTATCTTAATTTCTGAGTTCCATCCTATTGGTATTACCAACTGAACTCTGGCCTGTTCTTCAAGTAGATCAGTTGCTTGTGTTGATTTTCGATTGTAGAACACAATGACTGATGCTTTGGAAATTACTTTCAGCAGTGGCCTAGCTTTTTTTTTCATGCCATCCCTGACAACAAGCTGTAGTGTGTGGGGAAAAGTAGTGGCCATGTTCAAGACGAAATTTGGATAAATTGTCTGTTGAGTTAGATTCATCCAAAAGTACATCTTTTGAGTCACTATTTGTAGATGAGCTATCACCATCTATCACACTAGGTAGTGTTTGCAGTTTAAATCCAGGCAAGCAGAAAGCCTTGATTATGTTGGATGCATTATCAGATGTCGCATCTGACTCCATGTTGTTGATCTTAAAGAGATTTATTATTCCATCATATTGAGCTACAATGTTATCAGATGTGTGACGCCTCATGAAATGCCAACATTCCAGTATACTATTTGCATTTTCGAGTCAAGCAGGGTTCTAGTTAATCCGAACACCAGGGTCCTATATGCCCAAGAATTTGTCAAGATACATAAGATTTGACCCCCTGGGTACCAAATACACACTGCAAAACACATACGCAAGGCAAGCATAAGTACTTTGTACCATAATGGACTAAACAACATACAGTTTGCACACAGCTGTCCACCATAAACTTCTAATGGGTTTCATCAATGACAATAAATTGCACGAAAATAAAGCACATGAAAGTACCATGTGATTAACCCATTCACTTCAGGTAGGTCAAAGTGCACAAGTTACAACCTTTCACAGAGTTACATTTAAAATTTAATTAAACTACTTTATTATCAATGTATCTTAACAAACTTGACATCAAAACATAGATACTAAGTAAAAAGTTTAGTATTATTTACGTTTTAAGTTCTTATACTGTAAGGAAATATTTTAAAAAAATTCTCAATATACCCCTAGTATGTCATCAGCAGTCCTTCAATAATCAGAGATGACATAAAAGACAGGTGAAGAAACCATCAATGCTTAGATTGTCGACTGTGCTTCCAGTGCTTGTGTGATCAGAACCCTAAATTACTGGCAAATTTCTTTTCAAAAATGTCACATTGTACTGTGCAAAGAACTGTAAACAAGGCGTGCCCTTTTCATATGCTTTCCTCGACCACAAAATTTTATGCCCGCTGGATGTGTGGAGTGGACTATGTTTACCCCTCCTTTTATCAGGGCAGGAGAATCCACAGCCATCACACTCAAACCACCTACATTCATTTGACCAACTAAAGACTCCCAGCTGCTAAAGCCTGTCACCACCATCAGCCACCCGTTGCCTCAAGACTTCCTCCTCATTCCCAGCCAATGTTTGTTATCTATTTCTTCCTTCTTCTCTAATTTTTTTTAACCACCCCTCCGAGAAGTACGAAATTTAACGTAAATTACTCATTATAATGTTGTCATTGCTCAAGCAAAGCATACTTTTCATAGCCTTCAATTTTGTTTGGTCATATAGCCGTCAAATAGAAAATTAGCCCCCTCTTGCCACACCCACCTGTCACATCCTGTTTTTCAGGATTTGTCAACAGTTCTGTCTGATATTTAATACTATATTATTTATAACCTATAAACAGCCAAGGTTTTTATCTATAAAATGTCTATATACATTGTTTTCTGTACAGAAAAGTATTAATTTAACATGTATTAACATGTTTGCAGATGTAATAATGACAGGGCCCGGCATGGCCAGATGGTTAAGGTGCTTGACTCGCAATCTGTGGGGCGCAGGTTCAAATCCATGTCACACCAAACATGCTCGCCCTTTCAGCCATGGGGGCATTATAAAGTGACGGTCAATCCCACTATTCATTGGTAAAAGAGTATCCCAAGTTTTGGCGGTGGGTGGTGATGACTAGCTGCCTTCCTTTTAGTCTTACACTGCTAAATTAGGGACAGCTAGCACAGATAGCCCTCGTGTAGCTTTGCACGAAATTTATAACAAACAAGCAATAAAGACAGTCTAGAAATTTGGTGAGTACAAAAGTTGACATTTACAATATTTAGTATTCATTAAATCATTCAGCGATTATGAATACTATGCCATTGAATTGAAATACCAATACTTTATATATCTCTACCAAAGTATTTGGATACAAGCCCGAAGACTCCCAAAGCTGTAATCGATTACTGAATACGAATACCCCATGTCTGGTTACTACACCAGTGTGGTGAAATGTAGATATGACTATTAAGTATTTCTGTATTGTTACTATTACAGTATGTTGAAATGTAGGTATGCCTATTAAGTACTTCTTTATTGTTACTATTACAGTATGT